TAAATAATTTTGAATCGATTTCTATCAGTTAGGAAACTTAAGAACCGCCCATGGTATGGAGACTCAATCTGTTTACTGATTTCATATGGCGTTGATCTAACCGCCAAGAACGGTGACTACAACTATAGTAAACCTCATTTAGCCACATATAGGGTGTCCCGTACTTGAATGGACGTAGTAAGTAGTACGGACCGAGACCTATTCATATCTGAAAATAAAAGAGCTCCAAGTTCAGTTTCTACGAATATACAGGGTGATTTTCCTAAACATGCAAAGTCTTTAAAATCACGTGTCTCAGGAACTGTCGCACTGATTTTGGTGCCATTTTAAACCACAACAAGGTTACCCGGGAGTAAAAAAATTCAGGGCTAGGTTCGATTTTTTCACATTTGTTTTTTATTAGAACCAACACCTTTTAGGCTGAATATTGAAATTTTTGGTTGTGTACAAAAAACAATGGTGCTGATCAATTAGTGGAATAGATTGATTGTGCCTTTTTCATGCTTTTGATTAATTTTTATTTCAGTATTTTAAAAAAAGTTCAGCGAGTCATTAATTATTTCAAAAATTACATTACATTACTGCGACATTGCTTATCATCCGTTTTTCGATTCAGTATCTGTCAAGCGCTTGCAGAAAATGCAAAATTTATGTTGCAGATTAATCAGTAACATGAAAAAATATGACCACCTTACCACCTCGTTCATAAGATTGGAATGGTTATCTATTCCTAATCTATTTAAATTTCATTTTCTATGTCATATTCATAAGATTTTACTTGCCTCAGTACCTCCATTTTTGAAAGATTTTGTGGTTCTATGCACTCACGAGATATTCGCTTTATTGATACAATAACAATGCCTCCTCAAAAACTTGATTTTTTACTAAATGTTTTAGTTACAATGCTACTATCATGTGCAATGCTTTACTCTGTGATACTAAAGCTTCAAATTTCGAGAATTTCAAAAAGTATTTAAGCAAATTATTTTCGAGCAATCATTGAAATAAATTTATCTGTCACTTCTGCTTATAATACAGGGTGCGGCAGAGAGGATGGACGGTTTTAAAAAAATCATAAAATAGTTAATTTTTACTCGAAAACAAATTTATTGATGGAATGAGGTTCACAAGGAAATAGCATTTGAGACAATCAAGTGTGGAAAATCACATCAGGCATGTGGTGGCCGAAATCGTTGATGCAGTGCTGGAGGCGTTCTTGGAAGTTCGCGTAGACCCTCTCCAACATCGCTCTCTCAACGTGGGCGACTTCCACTCGAATTTCGCCCTTCAATTCGTCCAGAGTTCGGGGCTTGTTCGCGTATACTCTAGCCTTGAGGTGTCCCCATAAGAAAAAATCGCATATGGATAAATCAAGTATTTCAGTGCGGACCTGTGCGTCCAAAAGCATGTCACAAAAACTGTTCGAAATGATTTCCGTTTTGCTCGACGCAGAGCTGGGCGCGTCTTAGCCATGTCTCTTTACAAGCACGCAATAAAATCACTGGTTGATTTCTGATCACTGTACTCATTTCCTCAATTCGAGCACGTAATACTTTGCGGGTATTAACCGGTGTTTTATACTCTAGAGATTTTAGCCAACCCCGCAAACAAAAGTCTACAGGATTTAAGTCCGGAGACCTTGGCGGCCAAGGTACAAAACCGCCACGGCCGATCCAACGATTACTAAATTGTCTATTTAAAAATTCACGCACATTTCTTGCATAATGGAGGGGTGCCCCAACTTGTAAAAACCACATGTTTTGTCTAATATTTAAAGGCACATCTTCCAGTAAACCAGGCAAATTGTGTTGCAAGAAATCAAGATAATTTTCACCAGTTAGCGATTTGGTAATTCAAAAGGCTCCACTAAAATTCCACTAACAATTCCTGCCCACAGGTTGTTTGGTTCAAATCGCTGTTGAAAATTAGTTTCCCTTATTTCATGGGGATTTTCAATAGCCCAAACGTGAGAATTACGTAAATAATAATAAATCATTTACTAATTCTAAAATTTGTTCCTCTAGTTCTATTTGATCGTGGGGTCTTGGAGCACCGGCATGCTCTCCCCTGTGAGGTCGTAAGTCACCTGATTCACGAGCCCCTTGTACTACATTAACAAAAGCACGAGGGGTTAGTTGCACTCGATTGGGAAACCGATCCGCATAAATCCGTGATGCCGCGGCAGCATTTTGTAAATAAGAATCATGTCCACAAGTTCAAGTTTTCGTGAACATGTGCCATTTTTTATTTCGTTTGAGCCACGCAACAAACACCACTATTCACTCACGCGTTACCGACTGACACATTGACTGAATAGAACTGAATAAAATATTGTAGTAAAAACATCGTGATAAGCGTTTCAAATTCTTTCGCTTTTTTGTTTCCGATGCGATGAACCGATAAGGCGGATTATATCCGTTGTTGCCAAACACGAGCACATAATATTATTATTGGGACAGGGGGGTACTCAAACCTCTAAAGGGCTATAACTTTGTTACTTTAATTTTACCAGAAAAATGTTATAGGAAAAAAAAATTCTTTTGATCAGATCTACTCACTGCTAAAATAAATGACTCAACTTCGAAGTATGTATACAGAAGCAACATACTTTTATTTATTTATTGGAATCATAATATAACATAATCTATATAAAAATAGCTTAGCTTTAGCGATTCTTCCGCTTAACCCATACAAAAATAAATATAAACATGAATAGAATAGATAAATGCCAATGATTGTATAAAAATATTGTTATACATACGAGTATTTAATGCAATTACTCTGGTAAAAGAATAAATAATATTTGTATTGGCAGAAGTTAAAGATAAGTATTTTATATTTTGGCGCTGTACAAGCAGATTCCTCATATGTCTTTTAAAGCCATCAAATTTCAAAGATTTAATTTCAGGGGTAATGAATTATATAGATAGATCGCATTAGAAGCCTCCATGGAAAAAGTCCTGTGGATAGGCATGGTAAAGTGTATGTGGGAAGCGGATATATACAGGGTGGCCAAAGTATACCTTCTCCTTAAGTTTGTCGTGGTACTTATTGGACACCCTGTAGAATGAACATATATATTATGGTTTATTAGCTTTTCCTTCAAAAACAAAGGTAAAGAGGTAATTTGGAGTTTATGAACATAACATAGTAGGTGATATTTATATAATTTCGTAACATCCAACCAACCTAGTTTTTGAAAGGATGTCGAGATATGGTCGTACTTTTTCAAGCCGCTTACTAATCGTTAGCAAGAATGTTGAATTTTTTGTAAGCGCTTCATAGATACCGAATCTGAAAATGAATGGTAAGCAATATAGGAGTATGCGATTTTTGAAACGATCAATGATTCGTATAGAATTTTCTTAGTTTTGTAGTCTAAAATTTCTTTATTGAGATACAACTGGCGAAGTACTGAAAAGGTTTCAAATTGACACTCTGCATACGTTAGTGCAAAGTAGAACCATTTTCGAGTTACGCATAATTTTGACAAATTAGAAAAAATCCAAAATCTTCTGATAAAACGTCGCTTTTGCAATAATGAAGAGCAACACCTTTTTTCCTGATACGTCATCAATTATCTTGTTGTCAGTCTTTGCTACTTCCATAAACTCAAAGAAAACAGTTTTCTCAATCTTTATAACTACACTCTTCCAGACTTCTCCGACCGCAATCCCAAACACCGTGTGTAAGATCCGCTCAAAACAATTTTCCGGTGCTGGCTTGCCGTCGCGCCATTTTCAGCGATGATATATCGCCGGTGTTTTGTCGTAAGAAATTCTCCGGATTATTTGTTTCGAGTGTATCTAATAAATTCCCCGAATAAAACCTCACGTCGGTCTTTTCCTCTTTCATGCGACGTCCTCAAAAAGTTTCCTTTCACCCTAATCCGACTCCGGATTTTCTAGGACGGACGTACGACACGTAAGCCGGAGATACTCCGGGTATGATTTATCTTCGGGGATCTCATTCGGTACTTGTATTAATGTCTAATATCTCTTGCTGAGAGAGATCATTCCGTTGCGTCATGAAACTAGGACTCTAATTAATGTAATATCTAAAAGGAGGAGGGCTGATAAGGCGGGTTTTCGGCCTAGATTTAATTTGGATGAAAATGTTCAAAATCAGTTCCACCTCCATTTCTCCCAGTGCCTCCTAAACAACCCCTCAAAATAGTAAAAATACCATTACCTAATAAAAGCATTTTTGGAATCATTCATGGCTGGCAAACTATATAAAATTTTCTTAATAACGTACTACTAACTCTATTTCAACTACGAGCCCCTTCCCACTTCAGTTGGCCCACTTCAAGATTTGTAGCAAAATATGCCTTTATAAACTAAACATGACGTAACTATTTACTTCTAAAACAATTTATTTTCTCAAAAACATTTTAGATACACTCTAGTCGTAAAAAATACATATTTGAAATCACTTAGACCTATAACTAATAGAACATCTGAACAAATAAACAATGTGCGAATAAATGCGTGAAGTGAACAAAGCAACAATTGAAAGTTTACCATTGGGGAACATCACCTTTATTTTTTATTACGGCTGAAATTCTTTGGGGCATAGTGTTAACCAAGTTTTGGCAAAAATTTGCTGTAAAACAATCCCATATTTCTTGAAGCTTTTGTCTCAGTTGTCGTAGAACCTTTTTCATCTCGTGCCACAAAGCTTCAATAGGTGACAGGTTTGGACTGCTAGAAACCCATTTCAAAAGTGGTACATTATTTTCTTCCATCCATTTTATAGCCTTTTTTGAGGTATGTCACGCTGCACCATCTTGCTGAAACACAAAATCTTGACCGGATGTCAAACATTCTTCCATCACTGGTAAAAGCGATTCTTCTAAAGTTGCCAAATATTTGTTTGTATCCACATTTTCATCAATAAAATGAAGTTTTCCTACTCCTTCACTTTTCTCTTCAGACAGTCAATATGGAATGCTTCATTTTTTTGCGAATAACTCTACTGCGACTGTCACCAACACAAACTTCGAATCGGGCCTCATCACTCCATTGTATTGCACACCATTGTTGAGGTGTCCATTGTCTATGTTCTTTAGCCCATCTAAGCCGATTTTTCTTTTGCAGTGGAGTTAATAGTGGCTTTTCTTTGGCCTATAAACAAGTTGTGCAACTTTAGGGTTTTTACTTCACTTTTTTTTTATAAGAAAACTTACCTTGCAACTGCTAAATCCCAGTTTGTGGGCCTCTCTATGAGTTGTGGACCTCGAAATTCTCCTTCCAACCGCGTTACTCGACAGAGCACTTAATTGTAAATAATTGGCACGCCTGTTTTTCACGATTATTCTTCTTAATGCTCTTCGGTCGGCATTTGTGATATTACTTTCTTTCACATATTGTGCCTTAATATTAACTGAACCGGTTACGTTATATCTTCTAACAATATTTCTCACACTGTACCGCGATAAGTCTAACAAAGTTGCAATTTCTGAGTTTGATTTGCCAGAATTAAAAAATTTAATTATCGGTAACCGAATTTTCTCACTAATCACCTTTCCTCTACCCATTTTGAAAACCTTAACTACCCAAAACTATTTTAAACGTATTCTGACAGCTGTGATTAATAAAAACAATTGTCATGGCTTTTATTTTTCACAGCCACCTTTGCGTTATGGACTTATTTTGCATTGAAATGAAAATAGGTTGATATGCTGTAATTGCAACATGTGATATTTTTATGCTGCAAATTTGATTAGGGAGTGATAAAGTTGGTGTTTTTTACTATATATTATCAAAATATTCATTGTTAATATTTTAAGCATATAACATCCTACATTTTTATTATTTGTGTTTGATAAGAAAAAAATTAAGACTTCAATAGTTGGGCCAACTGAAGTGGAAAGGGGCTCGTATTTTCACTCTTATTTATATTGACCCCTGTTGGAGTTACTTGATGATTCACGGAATCGAGTACAGTGGACTGAACTCTTGTTTTTTCGTTGATTTTATCAGACTTATACATGTCGTATATTTTAAAATTATTGTTGATTGTAAGGGGCAACTCGACGCATCGCTACCTCTTTATTTTTATAGTGATTCAGCCATGATTGCGACTCAGTTAATGTACGTGACTGAATGCACAAATCAGGGAATGGTTACAAAATCCTTGGATGAAGCTTGTCGAGAATAGAAAACGGTAATAGAGAAGTTAACTGAAATGATCTTTCTCAAAGCTTTGCATCTGCTAATACCAATGGTTGCTTTTCCTTGAATTTCCACTGTTTCCTTGGATTTCCAGTCGGTTTGCTTTGGATTGAGAACGTCTTTTGAAGTGTTAAAGAGTGTTGCAGGACCGCTGTTTGACTCCAGCGTTTTTTTTTTTTGTAGTTTTAATGTGGAAAATTTTTACATTTTGTATATTTTAAGATTGTTGTTGATTGACACAGCGACGCGTTGAGTTGTGTTTGTGTGTATTCAATAGAAATTCTTTTCTGCCATACCGGTAGTGAACATAGAAACATCGTTCCTCCCCAATACTAAACTCGGGCAGACGTGGCGCGCTCAGAGAATAGAAAACACTATGCTGTAACGCAACAGAAATACGCTTGATCCCATACCAGAACGATCATCACGGTCGGCGCACGACGCCTGCAGCAGCCGCGGCCGGTAAGCGATCTGTTTCCCTCTGAGAAATAAACCCTCCCCACTCCCAACAATCCCCACCAGCAAGTTTTTACCTCAAAACTCTTTTTCAGAAATGATCAGGATCCTCTGAAACGTCAAAAAACGAAGTTTGAGCGATTTTTTCTTTTTGTTGTAGGCCTTTTTCTCTACCGACTTTCAAAAACTTTTGCGTCCTTGGCAGGGTAGTAACATTGTGTAGAAAATTTCATGGAAATACAAGCGATACTTAGCGACTAGACTGGACATTAGCGACCTGGTTTTTCGCGATGTACATGTCATAACGTCCAAAAAACATAATTTCTCATTTTCGAAAATTTTGCGATTACAGTAGGCGTGGAACTAACCAAGTAGTCTGAACTTATACAGAGTGAGGTTTTAGTGTGGGCTTGATTATACCTATTGTTACCTAAAAGGGAGATAACAAGTTGCAGCTCATTACTTGAAAAATAATTTCATCACTATAGGGTGATTGATAAGTACGTTTCAACCAACACATTCATTTTCTTTTTATAACCCTATATTTTATTGTAGATTTGTAAACACTTGTAACACACCCCGTCAACTAGAGTACTGAATTCTTCCTCAGAACAATTTTTTGAACCCATCGTTTCTCCTTGCTATTTCTTCTTTCAGTTGTTTGGACAGTTTATACAGGGTGGTCAACAACACAAAATAAACTACCTTGCAAAATTTTCAAATGGAACGCTCTGCATTCTACTAACAATAAACACTATATTTCCATCAAAATTCATTTCATTTGTACTTGAAAAAGACCACCGTAGCGGCTGAAATGTTGAGTCACTGTCATTCAAACATAATACGAGAATTGTCTTTTAAGTTTTGCATATGGGAATAAAACCACCACGAAGATTAATACACATCTGCACGCGCTCGAACCAATTTTTGAAGCACTTATTCCACTCGTTTGCTGGTAGATCCAAAACGGCATTTTTGAATGAGTCAACTGCTTCTTCTGGTGACTAGAACCTTTGACCACGCAGTCTGTTGTTAATTTTCGAGAAAGTAAAGAAACCGTAAGGATTTATATCGGGACTATATGGAGGATGGTCCAATAATTCCACGTTTTCATCCGTTAAATACTGCCTTGTTTTTTGGGCTGTGTGCGAGCTTGCATTGTCTTGGTGGAGGATAATTCTTCTTTCGGGGTTGATTTGTCGAAGCTCGGTTGATGACTTTTGGCAAACATATGGTGGTATGCCAATCCGCAGTAACAGTTCTTTGCTCATTAAGAGGAATTGTCGTAATATGACCCGCTTTTGACACAAATTTCGCGACCATCTTTTTCGAAACACTTCGAGAACGGATGACTCTTGTTGGCTTTTCTTCACCTTGGAACACCCAAACAGCCGACTGTCGTTTATTTTCTGGTTCATAACAGTAAATCTACGATTCATCACCACTAACAATGCTGTACACATTTTTTGAGTTTCCGGAATTGAAACGGTCAAGCGTTTTTTGACACGAATTAACCCTGGCTGCTTTCTGCTCTTCAGTCAAAACATTTAAGTTTACTAAAGAGTGAGGTTAAGATTCAGTACTGACGTTCGATCCGCGCGGCCTACTATGCTTCTATATGCAAAACTTACAAGACACCCCTCGTATGCGGTTTCATTTAGCGGCCAAACAGACGTGGAGGATTAACTCGCATGTAATCTTGGCCCAATAGACTAGGTTTGCGATGGTCAATAGAATTTTAAAGTCACCTTGTAAGTAGCAAGTCCCTTATGACTATCCGTGCTCCCAAAGCACTTTAGCTAGAGCACGGGTGTTGAAATTTAATGAGGTAATACCGATACCAATGGCAACTCGTTGGTCCCTACCCTTGTTGTAAATCGTTGAACTTTAATACAGTATATAGCGATACATCCCCCTTAATCATCTCATTCTCATTCCTCGTCCCCTCCCCATGCTCCAATTTACGAACTCGTCGCTCGTTAAAGGAGTTCCTCCGACGTGAACAATCAACTGAGGTCCCCTCGTCCCCCAGGGGGGCTTATTAACCGCCGGGGCGGCACGTTCATTGCTTAGTGTAGGTGATAACCTAGTAAAAACAGGATTTTGTCCGATCTTGAACGCAATTCTTGAAATGAGGGAATACAATATCTAGTAGAAACGGTTGTATTAGGGTTTTTACAGCTCTTGACGTGTGTTTTGACGCTTATTACGAAAATTTGTTTTTGCATCTTTTTTCGACAAAAGAACGTTTTATCACAGTTATCTTCTGGGGGCAAGTATCACACTCGCGAATAATTTTGAAAATAAGCTATTATGTTTTTTCAATTCAATTTATTTTCCATAGAAAGACAATACTGTATAGGAATTGTCAATACAATAAGTCCTAAGACTAAAAAAACAAGGTAATTAATAAGGTTAAAAATTACAAACTGTAAAAACTGTTCTCCAGCAGATAACTTTTCAATTCTTTCTTGAAGGATTTCTTACTGGTGTTTACTTTTATATAATCTGCCTGTCGATTGAAAATTTTCGATCCCATTATAGTGGGCGAACTTGTAGTTGTATTACATCTAGCAATGAATTTTTTTGTCTTGTATTTATATCGTGTGTACTACCTACTAATGGAAATTTGTTTTTATAGTCAAACACGTATAAACATAACAGTAAAAAACTTTGGAGATTATGTGATATGTAACATCACAATCCATGCCAATGGCGAGGAAGTCATGCAATTAAAAATGAGAAATGTCATTTGGATGTTATAAGACATGTAAATAATGAAAAACTATGCCACTCATTTCAATCGGTATGCCTGTCGGTCTGTCCGTCTGTCCGCTAATCCTTGGCCTGTCTATGTCTAGGAATGTAGGGATTGGATTTAGAGAAAATTTTCACGTAAGGTTGCCACTCTACCAAGAACAAAAAAGCTTTGTAGTTTTTTAAAATGTGTCCAGTGGCAGCGGAACTACGGGGCAAACAGTTGTTCCTTGATCTTTCATAGGCATCTATGCATTTTCAGAAAAATTTTTGTTAAACATTAGGGATTGGGAGTTGTAGGGAGTGGGGGAGGGTATTTTTAAATTTTTTTATGTTTGTATATAAATAAGTTCTCAAACCCAATAATTCTACCCACTTATTAGACATATCTCATACATCATAGATTTCCACGAACATTTGACCATTAATCTGGAATGAAATGCTTTCGATGCGCGTCTCTGCTCCTGCTTATTGTTTGTTCACCTGAGAAGCCTAACTCTGTCGAACTTTGTCCATCGAGAACTGATCCTTTGTTCCCAGAGTTTTGACACTGTGGACGATTTTGCCTGAGGAGGTTGACCTATCTCTACTAACGTTAGACAGTCCAAAAATTTGATCAACAAAATATCTTACTTAGGTTTCTGCATCCGAAGCTGCTGCAAAATTAAAAATGGCGTCAAGTAAGTTGACTCTGCACTTTTCATGCTTCGCTGCCAACAGTTCGTGAAGGATTATGTTTGGCAGTCTTTCTGAGAAAAATGTTATATAATATACAGGATGTTTCAGTTTATTGTTGCATAACTTTAAGATTCGATAGAACTTTTAAAATTAATGCATAAAGTCTATATAAACATGGGTCGAAAAATGCGTGGCTTCCGAAATACAGGGTGTTTAAATTTACTTTCTAAAATAGTTTTTTTTTAAATATTTCAAACAATGCTTGATGTATAAGTGTGAAAATTGGTATACAAGGGTTTTTTGGTACGACAAAATGAACCATGGGCATAGTTTTACTGTAGCCGCTAGAGGGCGCTCTCTACTGTACCTGTAGTGTATTAAAATCACGGAACATTTTTCCTTGGTGCAATTTTTTGCTTTTTGAATGAAACAACTGATTCTTCGCACTTTTCAACATAAAAAAGCTCTCTTGTGAATTTTCGTTGTAGTTAGCCGTTTTTGAGATATTTCGATTTTTAAGGTTCGATGCATTTTCAGTTATTTATGATAAAATAACGTTAAAAAGTCAGTATCTCCATAATTTTTAGAAGTAGGCTATGCCTGCAAATATTTTTGAAATTGAAAGCAGAATAAGGTTAAACGTCAATTAGTTAACAGTTAGTTTTGTTGTCTGTTGAAACCTGAAACGTTTTTTTGCAATCGTCAATGCACGAAATTTAGTTTCTTTTACCTGTTTTTTTTTGTAAGATTTATAAAAATGCCAGTTTTATTCTCCAATCAAGAGTTAGCGGATATTCATTTTGTGTATGGCTTTGTTAATAGAAACGCAGCAGAAGCAGCCAGAGAATACACACGAAGATTTCCAAACAGACGACATCCAACTCGTTCAGTATTTGTAAGAGCGCATCGCCAAATAATTGAAAATGGCTTTGGACATCACCAAAGGGATCAAAACATCAATGTTCGTCAGCGCAAATTTACCCGTATGATTCTGCGTGAGTTTGATAGAGATCCGACCACAAGTGTTACGAGAGATTCTGGTGCCTTGGGAATTTCAGCAAGCCATGTTCACCGTGTTCTTAGAAATGACCATAGACGTCCTTACCATTTGCAAGGACTACAGCCAGGGGACGGAGAACGAAGAATCACATTTTGTCAGTGGATTCTTGATAGAACTGATAATAATAGGGAGTTTTTAAGTAACGTTTTACGGACCGATGAGTCATGCTTCACTAGACGTGGATAGGGAAATTTCTATAATCAACATATTTGGTGGCATGAAAATCCGCAAGCAGTTCGGGAAAGAAATTTTCAGCATGAATTTAGTGTGAACGTGTGGATTGGTATCTACCGTAATCGACTATTTGGACACTACCTTTTTGCCTGCAAGGCTGCACATGCAAATATGTGGGATGATGGTATGTTAGATTTAAGAAGATTAGCCTGGTTCCAGCTTGATGGTTGTCCAGCTCATTATTTGAGAATAGTTAGAAACTGGCTGGACGAAAATTATCCAGAAGGATGGATCGGCCGTGGAGGACAAGTCGCCTGGCCTCCACGATCCCCTGACCTAAATCCATTAGATTTCTTTGTGTGGGGATTTCTAAAAGAAAAAGTGTACCAGACTCCCGTAACCACAAGAGATATGCTAATAGACAGAATCAGGAATGCATGTGATGAGATAAGGCATTATTTGAATAATGCTATACCACGTTCGATCATTCGTAGATGTGAATTGTGTATTGAACAATTGGGTTTACATTTCGAGCAACTACTTTAGATTTTGTATGTTTGTCCTAACTATCCAATAGCATTTTAGTTGTAAATGATTAATCTAATTTGTTAAAAATAATATTGGAAAATTAAACAAATTAATATTCTGTTTTTTTGTGTTTATTTGGAGTTAGGAATTATTGCTGTGTTTACAAACACAATCTAAACGATCATCTTAATTACTTGTAATGCCCAAATCGAAAATGTAAAAAAGATATTATTTTCCCATCAATAATTAAAAATGCATCGAACCTTAAAAATCGAAATATCTCAAAAACGGCTAACTATAACGAAAACTCACAAGAGAGCTTTTTTATGTTGAAAAGTGCGAAAAATCAGTTTTTTTATTTAAAAAGCAAAAAATTGCACTAAGAAAATTTTTTCGGTCATTTTAACACACTACAGGTACAGTAGAGAGCGCCCTCTAGCGGCTACAGTAAAACTATGTCCATGGTTCATTTTGTCGTACCAAAAAACCCTTGTACACCAATTTTCACTGTTATACATCAAATATTGTTCGGAATATTTAACAAAAACTATTTTAGAAAGTAAATTTAAACACCCTGTATTTCGGAAGCCACGCATTTTTCGACCCATGTTTATATAGACTTTATGCATTAATTTTAAAAGTTCTGTCGAATCTTAAAGTTATGCAATAATAAACTGAAACACCTTGTATAACCAAAAATTAAATCACCTTTTTCCCCCCTGGAAGGAATTGTTACAGCCACACATGATCGTTGCGATGTACAATACCGCGTGACTGACGTTATTGGCCTACACCCTGCACCGTGTTTGCAGGCCACACCAGCCCGGAAGCGATTGCCGACCGTAACGTACGAATACCGACGCTTGTCCATCGGAGGACGACGTCGCACATATCTACTCGACACCCGACTGTTTTTTTATATTCCAACTAGCACGAAGGCCTAAGGCCTAAACACCGATGGGGTACCGTAGGGCTATAGGGGGGTACAGGCGAAAAGGGGAATGCCACACGAAGTCTGGCGAGGGAACACGTGTGCATGCAACATGCACACATTCTGGCCCCGCCTACGAGAGCCGCTGGGTGGTACCACTGCGTTCTACAGTCAGAGACCGTCTACCACCTACAGACAATCACAACATCCATAACCAAGAGAGACATTTCTCTTGGGACGGGATTCGAACCCACACAGCGCACGGCAACTGATCAGGAGAGCGAAGAGTCTACTACTGCGGCCACCGCTGCTACCTAAGAGGTTTTTAAGGGTAAATGTGCGGGGACACAAGATGATTGAAATATGCCTGATATGTGCCCAGCATTATAGGGGTTGGAGGAGTAGATATAACCTCATCCACCTCCAGCAACTTCTAACTCCCAATTTTTAACCCCTACAAAAATGTTTCCGAAGATTATCAGCATCGTCTGGAACGTCAAAAGGCTTTTTTTATCATTGACGAAAATTTTCACGATTACAATACTACCCCACCAGTATGCGGGTGAAGTAAAAAAACAATCGATTTGAATCATATCTTTGGTGAACCGCCTGTACTAAGAGATCATTTCTAGCTTGTCATTGTGAGCACACCGCCCACATCAGGCGTAAGAGTCCTTTGGAAACAAGTCCTACCAATCGATCTTCTTTCAGGTTTACCTCAGTTCCGTACTCACGTAAGGATCGATCTGAACGGAATCGCCATGTCAGCTTTTTACGACCAGACGCTTACAAAAGGAACGTCTGTGCTTCACGCCTGTAAATTAATGTACATTTAATAAAAGATATCTTCCATTTTGAGTTATTGTTACGGGTACTGATGGTCTCTCCCCTTTATACTTATCTGCCAATTCGAAGGTAGTAACCTTGACCATGACATTCACTAAGAACTTCAAGGTCATTTCAAGCTCAGATAAAAACATCGAAAATTTCATGGCAATCTTAAATGCTACTTGTAAGACAATACCTTGATTTTTATGTCGAAATTGCAGGGATAAAAGAATTTTATATCTAAACGTAGAAAATTTTGACATGATCTCAAAGGCGACGGTCAAGGTCATGATCAAAATCACCTTTGGGCCAACCCCACAAACCTCACAACTCTGCTGTCGACAATTCTTGATAGAACAAGTTGTTCTTGTTCTATTGATTTGAACTTGTAATGGACGTAACATTTCCTCGTCTTTCTAACTAAGATAAAAAAGGGGACGTTGTATTTTAAAATATTTGTCTACCTTGAAATGACCTTGAAGGTCGCAGCCGAGCTCCTATTCAGGGTCACCATCATTTTGCTTCCTATAGACCCTACAATATTTGCTTGAAACTTTAATATTTAGGTGAGGAGATTAAAATGGGGCACCCTGTGTAGTATTTAATATCACGTTCTGATAATAATATGGGGATAATCTGGAGAGCTAGTAGCAAATGGCCCTAGTCAAGTTAATGGTAGAGAAAGCTTGCTATTCGGAAGAACAAAAAAATGTTCTGTTTTAGAAAGTCACATGTACCTGAAGATGGTGTCTAGGTCGTCAAAACGACGTTATTAAATGCTTTGAGTTGACGTAATTCCAAGAATTTATAAGTTAAATTGCTATCAACGTTCAGGTGTACAGAAGTTACCATAGTTCTGGATTAAGATGGACATCAACCGAAATAATGATATTAAGACGATACAGAAGACTTCAAAAAAGCTTGCTGAAAGAATGACAAGGTTTTTCTTCATATCCTTCTCATATAATAGCCAAAAAACATAAATCCCATTTTAGAAATTTTTTGCGATTATCATGGTTCCTTGCCAGTGGCGAGAGAAGTAAAAAGGATAATGTTCGCGATCTCCCTAATTCATAAATTTCTACCCCTTCACAACGACGAGACGCTACTGAGTACGAAGGGACATGAAACTATCCGGGCTATGAGAAAAGACGGTAAGAGAGAAAATTGATGGAATATAGGATCCTGTTCATGGCGGTAGAAAAAATCAATTTGTTCGCGTAAGTGATCCCAAACACGATTTCCTACTTCAGATTGCGCCATTTTGAAGAGTAACATCGCGCGTCTAGCCAATTTGCATTCCTTTTCCATCTTCGAAGAAGATTGGCACATTACTGTAATTTCTACGTAATAAAAAAACAATGACTGACATACCGAGCTTATAGAACAAGCTTCCGTTGTCTACCATGTGGTATGCCAATTTTTGGATAAAGACACGATACTTTACCTGTAATGTAACTCCTCAAACTTACAATGTGGTTTTCATATTCATAGGACTCCATTGTTTGGACGAATTATACCACATACATGTTTCATCTCTGTTTACTGTACTTGGAAAAAGCAACTGTGGCTGCCGAAACGTCGTACAATAAATATAAATTAAACTTATATGTTATTTGATTCGGCCAGAGAATGACGTCGTATACGAGGGATAATCAAATATTATTTGGGCTTTTCTTTCATCTCTCCCAAGGTGAGTAACTTGGCGTCTTGACATACGACGACGTAAAGACTTAGCTGCATTAAAGACATTATACTTTGTTATATATATATATATTATACAGTATGTATACAGGGTGTTTCAGTTTATTGTTGCATAACTTTAAGATTCGATATAACTTTTAAAATTAAAGCATAAAGTCTATATAAACAT